GGCCCCCTTACTGTGCTGCAGAGCAGCGTGCTCGGCAGTGGGGGAGGGGAGCAGGGTTGGAGCTCCAGACTGCTGGAGGCCGAGGCGAACGGCCGGCCGGCGATCTGCGAATGCAGGGAGGGAGAGAGAGGAGGGGACTGGTCTAAAGTTTCAGGGGAGAGGAGGGGGAAGTGAAGGAAGGGCTCTGGCTGCCGGAGCCCATGCGAGTGGCATGATCTGGCCGGCTGCCCTGTAAGCCGCGCACGCTCTGCATGGGGGGGAAGTCCGGACATTGACAAATTCCCCCCGGATGCTATTTTTAACTCAAAAAAGCCGGACATGTCCGGGGGAATCCAGACGAATGGTAACCCTAGTATATCAGGTTCTTAGCAATATTGGTGAATTTGCTGGCTTGAAAGTCGCTCTGGAACACATCCACAGCTTAGATGGGTCATTCAGTCCTTTGTTCAGAGCTTCAGTTTGTAGAAAAGTTACTCCAGAGGTAAGAAGCAGGAATGAAGACAAAATGGAAATGATGTAGCTGCCTTTTATAGTCTTTTGCCATGTGGGCTGTACTTCTTTTGTCCCAAACATAAGCTGTGCAGCACATGGCATGGAAGCCTTAGAGTTCTCTGTCCACAGGCATACCACATGCCCTGCTGACTCGTGAGGTATATTCTCTGGTTCCTTTCAATGGGTTCATTGTACAGTTGATGACCCTTGATGGGCCATCGACTAGGCTGAGCACTGGTGATACCAATCTGTCTGGGGGCGTCACCTAGATGCACAGCACAAGTTTGAAATACAGCTATACCATACGTATCTATAACTCACAATACACAGAGGATACAAACATATAAACAATACTATCATACTTAGCAAATCATAATATTTTCACAGATATCTTACATGGCATATCTGGTCAGATTCCTTGCAATTTTATAATATTGGTATCACTAATATTATAAATGGTCTTCCATATTCCATACAGCCTCACAACTCAGTTGCCTCCTAAGAATCTGGACAGTATCTGAGGTTACAAGAGGAAAGTATATAATAGTTTGTACTCTGATTGCAGCATCCTGAACAATCCAAAGGCTTCATCCAAGCATTCCAAAGTGCTCCTCAAATACCCCTCTGAGGTAAATATTCTCCACATTTTACTGATGCTACACCACAGAGTGATAAATGCCCAGGGCCAAAACTTTCAAACTTGGGTGCCTAAAATTAGGCAACGCAGTGCACAGTTACGCATCTAAGAGGCCTGATTTTCAATTTTGCAGGGGCCGGCTTTAAGCACCACAGGGCCCGATTCGAAGGAGCTGCCGCTGAAGTCCCGCTGCTGTCTTCGGCGGCAGCTCAATCGCTGCCGCGGAGGAAGGTCCCTCCACCGAAGTGCCGCCGAAGGCACCGGCAGCCGATTGAGCTGCCACCGAAGTCCCGGCATTGTCGGCAGCAGCAGCTCAATCGTTGCCGCTGTCTTTGGTGGCATTTCGGTGGAGGGACCTGTGACGTTGTG